TGGGGACAGGCACGGGTGTTTCTGGGAATGCACCTGCTTTTCTTCATGTTGCCACATGCATGGTTGCAGCTGACACGGGCAAATATTTGATCTACTTATTCTCGATGTGTAAACAAACACACAATGCTGGAAAAGAATGAGTGCCACTTGTTTGTATGAGTCAGTTCATAAAATACCTTTTACTGGGATATCCAGAGACTTTAAAATATCGACAAGGATGCATATACTAACTAATCTGGCCTAAATGGTTAGATATCCTGGGCAAGTCTGATACTCTTTAGAACAAAGAAGCAGGTAGGCACACAGTTTACAGTTGATGAAGATAATTCAGAAAGGGGGAAAATGCAACCAATGGAAATAAAAAATGAATTTCTTCAAATAATGGCACACAAATACACATGAATACACATGAATTATACAGAATAAGACTACTCAGGGTTATTTTGGGGGCAGGAAAAAACAGGAATGCACAGGAACGGAGTTCCAGCTGGCTCCCGAGTTGGCCACGCACAGCAGGAACTCATTAGCATAATAGGCCACACCCAACAGCAGAAACTCATTAGGGTTGGCTACATTAGGGGTGTGTGGCCTAACATGCAAAGGAGTTCCTGCTACAAAAAAAAGCCCTGGGTTTTGACAACAAACAAGGTAGAATAAGAAGCAAAAGGTGGGTGTGGCTGGATGACCACACTTCTGGTAATATGGGGGTGCGGCCTAATGTGCTAATGAGCTGCTCTGTCAGGGGTGTGGTCTAATATGCTAATGTGTTTCTGCTGTTGGGTGTGGCCTATTATGCTAATGAGTTCCTTCTGGGCTTTCTCTACAAAAAAGGCCCTGAGACTACTGATCCATCAAAGTCAGTGTTGTCTATTCGGATTGGTAGTTGTTGTCCAGTAGTGGCTCTCCAGGGTCTCAGGCAGAGGTCTTCCACATCACTCATGGCTGATCCTTTTAAACTGGAAGTGCAGGGGATTGAATGTGGGACCTTCTGCATGTAAAGCAGAGGGTCTTCCACTGAGCCATGACTCCATCCTTCAATGGGTTTAGAAGAGTGTAACTCTGCTTAGGGTGGCACAGCTGGGATAGAAGGCTGGTCAAGGGATACGTTGTACTGTGTGCAGGCCCGTAGCCAGGATTTTGCAGCTTGTGGGGCAGATTTTTTTCTGGCGAGGCTGAAGTTCTCAGTGCAGAAAGAAAAGCCACTTAGCCAATAGAATGCTGTTACCAGGATAGAGTTCTAGATTGCAAGCTGTCAGCCACTTTAGACGACAGTTCTCAGCTGCTGCAAGTTAATCCCTTCTGCCAGCCTAAGCAGCAATTCTGATAAGAAGCCTGCAGGTGGATGTGATGATGTCTATAGACAAGAAAGCTAACACTTAAACAGAAAAACTCTTTTAAAGGAGACCAGTTTCTTGACACAGAGTTAGAAGGTATCCTAGAGGTCACCTACTCCAACCTCCTCGCTCAGTGCGGGGATTAGTCAACTACAGCGCCCCACTCTGCTTAAAGGAGTGCATGCCTTAAAAATAAGTTTTTAAATGATTGGAAAAAAGCATTTACGGGGGGGGGGAGCATTTACAGAATAAATTCTTGTAGGTCTTTGTCAAAAGCCCCACGGTAGCTACGGGCCTGACTGTGTACCAAATCAGCCATTTCTGGCCCAAAATATGCTGGGCTTTTGTGGAATAAATTTGCCTTGGCATCATTCGATAGACCTCGTTGTGCAACTCTCCCTTTGGAAAGATTCTCCTGTGCCGGAGACTAGTTCTGAATCAGCACCCAGGGAGGACGAGGCAAAGGAAGGAACTTCAAGAGGTGCAGCCCAGCAGGCAGGCAGGAGAAAAGCCTACCTGTCACCACACCCTCATCTATGCAACTTACAAAAGGACAGGAGCTCGGCTGTGCCCCTTTTAAGTAGGTCACTCCAGTAGGTTGCTGATCCTCATGAGAGATAAGTAGAAGTGCTCCCTCCCCCCCCCCAGGAGAACTGTTCATGTTTGCATCATTTGCACAAGGATTGCCATCATAATCATAATCAATAGTAAAGTCGTAACAGTGTAAGTTCTATCTCCCTTCTAGTACATTAAGCAGATCAGAACCTCCCACTGCTCCCCGTTTAGTAATATGTGCTCTCGTGTTCTCCAGCAATATGTACGCCGCACTAAGGAATTATACCATTCTGAGCTGGAAAGGGTTGACTTTCTGAATGCAGCTGAACGGGCCAGAAGAACTATTAATTCGTGGGTCGAAAGTCAAACGAATGGTAAGCCTGCATGCATTTTGTACACACTTAAAAAGCAAATGAATGCGTTTGGCAAATTGCAAACACTGATCTGCGTTTGGTCAATTGCAGGCTCAGGGACCAACATATCTACGGGACCGTCTCTGCCATCATGTCCCCAGGAGAGTGTTGCACTCTTCAGATAGTAGCTTACTGGTGGTCCCCAGCCCCAAAGGCTATCCTTGACCAGGGCCAGGTGTCAGACTCCTGCAACAAACAGAATCAATGACTTGCTTCTTTAGAAGAAAAGTTTATTGATACAGTATTGGCAGGGCATCACTACTTCAGAATCCATGTTAAGACCAGGGGTCATTTCCTGCAGGAGCGCACAGGAGCGGCGCTCCAGCAGTAAAGAGCCCAGGGGGCGGGCACATGCAACAAGCCTCGCCTCCTGCTCCCAGCAGCCCTCAGTCAGAGCAAGAAGCAGCCAGGTAAGTTGCAGAGCCCCCCCCCCGCACCCCCCCCTGCCCCAAACAGTCCAGTGGCACCTTTAAGACCAAGTTTTATTCAGGTACGAGCTCTCCCTCCTCTGCGAGGACAGATCTGCACGTTCCCCCCCCCCCATAGCTAGCAATCCAAAACAGTCCAGTGGAGCCTGAGCGGTGGGTGTTGCCTTCTGACACACTTCCGGTGATGTCAGGGGGTGAGGCATATGCAAATAAGTTATGCTAATGAGTTATGCTAATGAGCGCCTGCACCTCTTTTTCCACGAAATGACCCCTGGTTAAGAGTAAAGCAGAAAGCACGGGGTGGACAGATATACAGGGTTCAAAGAGGGTCACCAGGTGGCAGAGAGCCAATCAAGGTGCCAGGCGAGGCCTGACAGAAAAGAGCGGCCCCTTATTCCCAGGGATGATGTTACAACTATGAACCAAGGTCATACACATAAACCATACAGATAAGGGAGCATCACCCAGACAGCATGAAAGCGAAAGTAACATTCCAAGGAATCTCTTCCCCCTCCACACCAGCCTTCATGGCAGCGAGCTGACACCAGGGCCTTTTTGATCCTGGCCCCAGCCTGGTGGAACTTTCTTCCAAGTACCATTAAGGTCCTGCAGGACCTGATAAAATGCCACAGGGCCTGCAAGGCTGAGATGTTTCCGCCAGGCTTTTGGTTGAGGACAACCATGGCTTTCATCTTGGCTGGCACCCTCTTCCATTCGCTACATCTGTCTTACCCCTTCCCCCCTTCCTGCAAAGTGGCCGGCAGTCTGAAATGGGATTAATTTGTTCGCCATCGGATTTAAAATGTGCTGTTCTATTTTAATTGTTTTATCTAGTGTATGTTTTTATTCGTATTGTACATTGTCCAGAGCCCTGCAGTTGCAGAGATGGTGCGATTAATTAATTTAACAACAACAACAATAATAATAATAATACTGCCATTGGCCTAGATTTGCAATGCAGCACTGCCTCCTTGTATAGATATTTTGTTATTTAAATTCAAATACCTTTTATTGGCATACAATATTAGAAGCATTTCCCAACAATACAATTCAAAAGAAATTATAAAATAGATAGTCATGGCTATGTCAGGCCTAACTCAAGTTGTCACAAGCTAGATTTGACCATACAAAAGATGCCTGAATCATAAAATAAATTGGCATTCTAAACTTTTAAAACTTAAGTTTTTAGACTTATAAATTAAGAATCATTAATATGATCAGGGTCACTTCCATTTTATAAAACCATGGAGAAACTTAGCGGTCAGTTCAATGATCTCCGGATCTCGTGAAGCAAGGAGAAATTGTACCTTGATTCTATCCGATTGGCCTGCTACCAACCTAAGGGGGGTATTTTGTTATTTAGTAAATCTTCCTTTCCGTCCTCTGCTATTATATTATATAGATTATTTTCATGAAACATTTCTTGCTGAATTGGCTGGGTATTACCTTACAAGGGTCTTCCTGGAAGGCCCCAGGCTTACTACAGTAGCCGAAAATAGAGACAACAGGAAGTGGTGCATTTATTGGCATATGCAGGGCTATTTTGGGGCAGGAACGCACAGGAACGGAGTTCCGGCTGGCTCCTGAGTTAGCCACGCCCAGCAGGAGCTCATTAGCATAATAGGCCACACCCAATAGCAGACACTCATTAGGATTGGCTACATTAGGGGTGTGTGGCCTAACATGCAAAGGAGTTCCTGCTACAAAAAAAGGCCCTGGGTTTTGACAACAAACAAGGTAGACAGAATAAGAAGCAAAAGGTGGGTGTGGCTGGATGAGCACACTTCTGGTAACATGGGGGTGTGGCCTAATGTGCTAATGAGTGGTGCTGTCGGGGTGTGGCCTATTATACTAATGAGTTTCTGGTGTTGGGTGTGGCCTATTATGCTAATGAGTTCCTTCTGGGCTTTCTCTACAAAAAGAGCCCTGGCATATGTTTGCAATGCATCAGATAGCCACAGCCTGTGAAAGAAAAAAGGTCAAAAGTAGAGTTGTCGCTTTTAAATTTAGCAAAAGGAAGACAGGATTGTTCCAGCTTGTTCCCACATAACCTGTTTTTTTATTATTGTTATTATTTATTGGTCATTTGATCCTTTGAAACATTTCTACGGCTATAAATGACAGAAACGATTTCCCAGCAATAAGTCATTGCTTCAGACGCGGCTTACTTTGTTTTCTTTTCACAACAAAGGCAAAATCCAGGACCTTTTCCCCGCCCACACTCTTGATCCATCGACTGTTCTGGTGTTAGTGAATGCTGTCTATTTCAAAGGGAAGTGGCTGTCAAGGTTTAAGAAAGAGTACACGGAAGAATTGCCTTTTTGGTCAAATAAGGTATGGCGTCTCCTGCAGCCGAAGCGGAAAGAAAGCCTTTTGCGGGAAAGACGTGCAACTGCACAGTGACCATTATTGTTCCGTACCTGGCTGGGCAGCTCCCCTCCAGTTTCTCGTTAATCCTACTCTTGCTGAAAGGCTAAGCAAACAAAAGGCAAGACACAAATCCGATCCCATAGTGAGTAATGCAGTCTGTACACATAGGCAGTTTTGGCACATAGCTGTCAAGAGGTGGGTGCAGCTCTGCATTTGCAAGAGAACGCACAGCCAGATGTGCCTCCCCAGTCAACACCATGCATGACTGATGAGGAGGTGCATTCCCATGCACACTGTTACTGAGACGGAAGACAGTTTCCCCGGAAAACATCTTGCACTATTAGTTACGCAGGGCTCTTTTTGTAGCAGGAACTCCTTTGCATATTAGGCGACACCCCCCTAGTGTAGCCAATCCTCCAAGAGCTTACAGAGCACTTCTTACAGGGGCTACTGTAAGCTCTTAGAGGATTGGCTACATTAGGGGTGTGTGGCCTAATATGCAAAGGAGTTCCTGCTACAAAAAGAGCCGTAGCCAATTCTCCAGGAGCTTACAGAGCTCTTCTTACAGGGGCTACTGTAAGCTCTTGGGGGATTGGCTACATCAGGGGTGTGTGGCCTAATATGCAAAGGAGTTCCTGCTACAAAAAGAGCCCGCATGCAAAAACCTTCCTGTATGCCGCTGTGCCTGGATTGGGGCTGAAGAATATTTTTTGAATCTACTACCTCTGGCCTAGGGTTGCCAGGTCACCTTTGGCCACTGGCACGGGATGGGGGGGGTAGGGTTGCCAGATCCAGGTTAGGAAACTCCTGGAGATTTGAGGATGGAGCCTGGGGAGGCCAGGGACCTCGGTGGGCTCCAGTGCCACAGAGTCCGCCCTCTGAAGCATCTGTTTTCTCCAAGGGCACTGATCTCTGTAGACTGGAGATGAGCTGTAATTCGGGGGGAATCCCCAGGTCCTGCCTGGAGGCTGGCATCCCTACATATCAGGCCTGTTTAACTCCCTTCATTCTACACGGCTGCATCCACTGCCCATGCCTTATGCTATGCTACCAAATCCAATAAGCAGCTTCCCTCTTCTCTTCTAGTCCTCTCTTCAAAGTCTTTTTTTTTTTTTGCGCTGTCAAGTCACAGCTGGCTTCTGGCAACCCGTTGGAGTTTTCAAGGCAAGAGACGTTCAGAGGTGGCTGGCCACTCCCTGCCTCCGCATCACGACCCTGGTATTCCTTGGAGGTCTCCCATCCAAAGACTAGCCAAGGCTGACCCTGCTTAGCTTTTGCGGTCTGACGAGATTGGAGTAGGCTGGGCTATCATGGTCAATTATGGAGTCACCATATTTACTTCTCCGATAGCACTGTTGTGAGCAGAAACACTCTTAGCCGTGGGGCAACCACGGCAGTTGTCCTGGATACCCATCATGGGACCAGTCTTACCGCAACCTCCCTACCATGTGAGAAACTGGGGGTAGTATGTGTGCAGTAAGTCCACCTCCATTGCATTTGGGTCACTAAAAACCCCCAACAAGCTGCTCATGGAGATACAGGCTCCCCTTAGTAACTGTAAGTGGCAAACCATATCCAGCCTCCTTATCTTTGCCTTTCATCATTCCTACGGAAGCATGCCCCCCCCCCCAATACTCTTCTCCCAAATTCAGCCGATGGAGGTTAACTAGTGTCTCAGTGTAAGTCCATTTCTGCACTCTCCTTTAAATCCATGTTCCCATCATAGGACCAGTCCTCCAAGCAATTCTGCACTAAAATCGAGTTCAACCTTCTTTTTATTCTGCCCCCCCCCCGCATTCTGCATTGCATTCCCTCCCTTCCATGGTCAGCCCAGTTTCAGCCTGCTGTTGCCCCGGGTTATTTGGATGCTGTTTTTCCCTGGACTTAAATGGCCTCGACTCGAACACTGAGAAAATCCGGAGTAGCAGGCAAATGCGGAAAGGACCGAAGTGTCCCTAGAGGCTTTCCTTGAGCTACAGAGTCTATAGGCTTCGATGGCGATGAGCAGTTACAAAAGAGAACAAGTGTTGTGTAGCGGTGAGCAGAGTTCCCTCTAAGCTGAGTTAGCTCACAGTTTTTTAGCCTCTGGCTCACACATCTTTGTCTCAGCTCAGGAAAGAGGGCTCCAGAGCAAACCAATTCACACAGGAGCCAAATTGCTCGCTCACAACCTGATTGCCGGGAGCTCACAAAGTAGCATTTTTGCTCACAGGACTCCACAGCCTGCAGGGAGCATTGGCGGTGAGCCTGCAGAGCCATAGATACCTGGCTTTTTCAGCTCAGTCCTAAAATCTCAGTGGATCAGCCACCATTTCTCAGCATAAAGACCTATGTTTCCTCTTGTGAGGAAAATGGTGGACACATAGACCCTCCTGCCATCCAAAGAGTACAATGGCAGTCAAGCAGCAACCCCCTTTGTGGCTTTAAAGAAGGGCCTGGGCTCCCGCCAGAGAGACCAAATCGTTGCCTCTCTTCCCGCAATGGGCCTTGCTCCTAGTTTCTTATATAAAACTGAATAATATGTTTCTCCTACTTTGTTACAGAAAATGAGCAAGAAGGTGCCAATGATGTTTCAGCATGGAAAATTTAAATTGGCCAGAATTCAAGACCCTCCTGTTAAAGTGCTTGAACTTCCTTATGAGGGTGAAGAGCTAAGCATGGTTATCATGCTCCCTGAGGATGGTGCTTGTCTAGAACAGGTAATTTAAAAAAAATTTAAGGCATCTGAAGTTGTTGATGGGCAGGTATTCCTTGGTAAGTCACAGGGTTTGCATTCAGATGGTCTGCTGTCTTGGCATCTCTAGCTGCAAGGATCCCAAAAAGCAGAGCTGAGAAAGTCCTCTGCCTTAAGCCCTGGAGAGTCAATGATATCTGCGTTCGATAGTACTGTCCTCAGTAGACCAGTGATCTCATTCAGCACAGGACAAGTTCATATGATGATAAGCAAGTGTCAGACCCCGGTCCAGTTATACTCAATAACGCTCTCTTTGGCAGTGATGAGTTTATCAAAGCATATGCAAGATGTCATCGTGTTAGAACTGAAATCTTTTGGCAGGTACAATCTTATTATAGAAAATGAAACAGGTCCCATCCAACCCCCAAGCAGGGCTATTTTTGGGCAGGAACGCACAGGAACGGAGTTCCAGCTGGCTCCCAAGTTGACCATGACCAGCAGGAACCCATTAGCATAATAGGCCACACCCAACAGCAGAAACTCATTAGGATTGACTACATTAGGGGTGTGTGGCCTAACATGCAAAGGAGTTCCTGCTACAAAAAAGCCCTGGGTTTTGACAACAAACAAGGTCAACAGAATAACAAGCAAAAGGTGGGTGTGGCTGGATAACCACACTTCTGGTAACGTGGGGGTGTGGCCTAATGTGCTAATGAGCTGGGCTGTCAGGGGTGTGGCCTAATATGCTAATGAGTGTCTGCTGTTGGGTGTGGCCTATTATGCTAATGAGTTCCTGCTGGGCTTTCTCTACTAAAAGAGCCCTGCCCCCAAGCATACGTCACGTCCACACTTCGCCTAATTGCCATGCCAACCGGGGGAGATATATGCCCTGGCTCTTTTTATAGCAGGAACTGCTTTGCATATTAGGCGACACACCCTTAATGTGGCCAATCCTCCACGAGCTTACAGTAGCCCCTGTAAGAAGAGCTCTGTAAGATCTTGGAGGATTGGCTACATTATGGGGGGTGTCGCCTAATATGCAAAGGAGTTCCTGCTACAAAAGGAGCCCTGGTCAATCTAGAGTCTCAGATGGTGCAAGTATGTGCTCAGGGTCGCTTCTCCTGGGAAAGCAGAACAGGGAGGAGAAGGGCACGTCTTTTGGAAAGTTACATCTTCTAAAAGCAAAGGTCCCGGTCACTCCCTCACACTCACCCCCACCCTCAGGAATATGCCCTCCTCCCAACCTTTATGGCAACCGAAGCAAGCATAGCATAACAAGGTTTGACAGCAAGATACCGAAGTGGCAATACCCATCTACGTTACTATCTTGAATGGACAATCTCTGCATTTTTAGGGGTACCCTATCATTCATGGGTTTGAGAAGCCCAGCATTGTATTTTGCCACACAAACTGACTCCCGCAGAGGTGTCCAAACTCTGTAATAAGATCAACCTAGGAATAATTATGAAAAGAGCTTCTCTCTACATAATTCCTCCATTTCTCCTTTAAAATCTTGGTCAATAGTTTTGACTTTGGTGAAGTTTGACCATAAAGGCATATTGAGATTATATGGCATGATATAAATACATATAAATAAATACAAACAACGGACCAATCAATAACAATACTGTTCTGTCTGTGATTTTCCTTCACTCTAGCTGGAAAGTTCTCTTACCTACAAGAAAATCGAAGAGTGGACCAGTTCGGCAAACATGCGCCCCTGCAAAGTGAATGTGTATCTTCCCAGGTTTAAACTAGAAGAGAAATATAAACTTAATGCCGCCTTGCAGTCAATGGGAATGACTGATGCTTTTATGAAAGGAAAAGCTAATTTCACTGGGATATCTGAGAACATGGGGATGGCTGTGTCCAATGTCACTCACAAGTGCTTTATAGAAGTCAATGAAGAAGGTACAGAAGCAGCTGCTGCCACTGGAGTAGAAATAGTTCCAAAGAGTGCACAATTTCCATTGGAGTTTAAGGCAGATCGTCCATTCCTCTTCTTTATTATAAACAATATAGCAGCAAAGAGCATTCTCTTCTTTGGTAAATATTTGTCACCTTAAGTGACATGCCATTTGGAAAAAAAAGTCCTCCCATTTAGTCCTGTAGTAGGGGAAACAATTATATTACATTCATCTTTACTATGCCTAGACTTTTCTCCCCTTTTTAAGGAGCAAATACAGCTTTTAGCCCTGTTTTCAGTCAGCTATGTAAACTCTTCTTAACTAGATTTATCTTGGAGTGAATCTGGTTTGAGATGATCCTTGTGCTGGTAGTTGCTTGTAGGGATGGGCATGAATTCCAAAAATACAGTCTGTTTTGTGGTTCGTGGCCAAACCACGAACTGAACCGGGAGGCTCCCGGGCAAACAATCAATTTGTTTCAGTTTGTGGAGGGCAGGGAGCAGAAAACATGGATTTAAAGGGACTCTGAGCCATTTATACCATTCTGAGTACTGAGAAGAGTTTTAAATGGCTTGGAGACCCTCAGCTGTTTGTTGCTGAAAAATGATACAAAGTATACTGTGATAGAATTACTAAGAAATATACTTCACCATACTTCACCAATTACTGCATAATTATCATGAGCTAGGAAACCAAATTACAAATCACCTTTAAAGTGCATTTCATAACATACACAATTTACGAAGTCAAGTACATAATCATTTAATCATTCATAATCAGAATTCCTTATCAGATTACAGTTCATATAAAGGATCCGCTTGTATTCTTCCTATTTCTTCAGACTCTTCAGTTGCAACTTTAAAGTGTATTGTGCTGCTAATATTAATTTCTTATGTGTGTATCAACTCACAAGATCTACTCATAGAGATATGATTCAACCTTTCCAAATTCTTCTAACTTTCCAAAAGTAAACAGTAATTTTCAAAAAAAAAAAAAAGACAGTAGGAACCCACCAAATTCCAATTCTCACAACTCTGTTTTCTAGTTTACGGAGCCACCAGCATTTAATTCCCTTTCACAGAATGCTTTGTCAAAGACGGAACAATAAAACTGTCACACCACCAGCTTCCACTTTTCATATCCCACAAAACATCACATTCTTACACACAAGACCAACATATTTTCAGCTGCTTTTCACAGTGGGGTATAAAGGGACTCTGAGCCATTTAACCCCCTTCCAAGTGCTCAGAGTCCCATTCAACCCCTGCTGCAAAAATAGCAGAGCAGAGGGGTGCAGAAAGCAGGGGTTTAAAGGGACTCTGAGCCCTTTAAACCCCCTTCTGGTATTCACAAACTGTCACAAACCACCCACAAACTGCTTAAAAGTTCATGGAAGTTTGTGATGGTAGATTTGCCACCAACTTTGGTTCATGAAAACACAAATGGGCTAAAATTCATCATGAGCTGTCGTTCGTGAGCTGGTTCATGTCCATCCCTAGTTGGTTGCTGTGCTCCTGTTGCACAGTTACTGTGGTGGGCAAATGTGAGAGATTTCCCTGGAAACACAAATGAACTCCATATTCTCCTACTACTACTGATGTGCAGATTTTGCCTGATTCTTCTGCACTGTGATCCACCTTCTGGCAGAGCAAGGAGATAAGGTTCAGTGGAAGAGCTTGGTTCAAATTGATGAGGCCAGGTGGGCCTTCAGAAAGCATTCAGAAAGTAGACGCAGGGCCCCCACTGAATCCCTGATTTCTGCTGGAAATGCCCTTGGCAAAAGAAGAGAGCTCAAGGGATGTTTCCTCCTTGAAGAAAATTCCTCTGGTTTTGGTGTACTGTCTTTGCCACCCCTTTGAGACACCACCCATATGTGCTCACCCATACTGAATGTCAAGGCATGATCTCCTAGGTCCTGGGGCAGGGGTGGGTTATGTGCTTTTATGTTTCTGATGAAGTGGACCACCTTGAGCAGGTTTCTGAAGAGGCAGCATATACGATGTGAAAATAAACAATGGCTCCGGTCACATGGGCAGGAAAATGTGGGGGGGGAGCATGGCTGTGTGCCCCGGGGCAAACTAACCTGCGGTTAAGCGATCAGACCTGTGGAGGTCCCGTGGAGGTCCCGTGGGTAGGGAGAGGTGCTGATCACAGGACAATCCTGCCCGCAACAAAGAAGTGGCGTGGTGCGGCAAACTGGTTTTTTTTTTCCGTGTACACCAAAAATGTGCATGCTCCGTTGGGTGCTTGTGCGCATCCACGGAGACTTGGGGGGAAAAAACCCTTTTTTGCAAGGGGACATGGGTGGGCGCCGCATGCCACCGGAAACGCGATCAGACGCCCGCCCTTGCCCCACGGTTACCGGAAACTAGTACCTCCGAGGTACTAGTTTTTTGCCGCATGTCTTTGGCGGGAAGCCTCAGTTGAGCCACGGGAGCGCTACGCTTCCCAGATGTGCCGGTGAGATCGCGCCCGGAAAATCCGTCTGTCTTCCATCTCTCTAGCGTGGCTAATGTTCCATGTGACCGCAGCCAATGATTATTTTCCTGTTTAGGATAAATTTCATGAAACAATAATCAAATGTCTTTGAATTCTGTGGCTGGAACTCCATATTGCACAGCAGTCTTAATAAATGCTAGTAAACCCTTCCGAAGCATCCTGGGTTTTTTTTTTTGTTGTAGAAACCTTGTGGCCTTTTCTGGCAGGGTGCAGTTAGCAGTGTTGGAAATTTGGTAAAAATAGTTATATATTCAGAGGTTGCAGTGGATCTTTGTTCACTGGAGAGGAGGCATTTTCTTTCTATGTAAAAATCTTTATTTCTAAAGGGAAGGGTACAAAACCTACAAAACAACAAACACTTAAGGCTACATGCTTGCAACAACAGAAACACAGATAGTGATGGAGAGTCTTCTTTTCTTCTTGACCCCTAGAAGGGAATCACCTGGATGTATTAACCAATTATTGTTAGTAAACGGGCTTCAGTTTCCGGCATTTAAGCTTGCAAGACTGATAGATGCATCTGGTGTTTACCAGAAGAGTGGCTCTCTGAGAGACAGTTGCTCCTGCCTTGAAGCAGGCACTGGTGCATCCACTCCTAAAGAAACCTACTCTGGATCCAGGAGAGCTGAATAACTACCATTCAGGCTCAAATGTACCATTCTTGAGCAAGGTAACAAAACGAGTGGTGGCTGGGCAATTTTAGGAACTCCTGAAGGAAGCGGATTGTTTGGATCCACTCCAATCTGTTTTCAGGCCTGGTTATGGGGCTGAAACAGCCTTGGTCGTCCTAGTGAATAATGACACGTGCAGAGAAATGGATAGGGGAGTGTGACCCTGTTAATTCTCCTGAACCTCTCAGCAGCTTTCAATACTATTGATCATGGTATCATTCTGGATCCCCTTTGAGGACTGGGAGGCACATTTCTGCAGTGGTTCCGGTCCTACCTCAAGGGTAGGTTTCAGAGTGTGGTGCTGGAGGACCTTGGCCTTTGGCCTACGGGTTCTTCAGAGTTCCACCTTGTCCCTCATTCTTTTCAACATCTACATAAAGGTGCTGGAAGAGGTCATCTCAAGATCTGGACTGGATTGTCACCAATACGCAGATGACACTATCGTCTTTTCCCAGCAGGTGTTCTTTGTTTCACCTGGCATACCCCCAATAATGGTCATTAACCCTCCTTCTAGAGTTGTTTGCTGTTGTGTTCTTAACTGAATTTTCTATTTATAACGGTATCTCAATTGTTTAAATTTTTTTTATGACTGTTTGGGTCCGTTTCATGGATCCTGGTTGGGTAGAAAGATGGCATTAAAACGTTCTAAATAAATAAATCATAAGTGTTACATAGCCAGGCTATTTTGGGGCAGGAACGCACAGGGACAGAGTTCTGGCAGGCTTCAGAGTTGACCACGCCCACTACAGCCAAAACTTCTGTGTGCATGGCTACAGAAGGAAGGCCTGGAGAGTGACCCCCACCAGTGACTCTGAGGCGGGAGGGCCGGGGGGGCACTGCAAGGATCGGGGAGGCATTTAAATGCCTCCCCATGCCTTCCCCTACATGTCCAAGGGCCGGCTTGCCCGGGCTTCCCGTACCCGTGGGGAGCCCAGGAAAGCCAAGTTTAAACTTGTTAAGTCGTGTGCTTAACAAAGAAGTCGGAGAGTGATTCAGCAAGAATGCAGTTTATTCTTCAGCTTAGTTACTTCTCCGTTACGGTACAACGCTCGCCAGCCAGAACCCATCACAGATCCAACATTCGAACCAAACCCATATACTGGCTGCTCTATATTTAAACACTCCCGGCTAATGTAGCCACACCCCCTGTACAATAAGGCAACCTATGAGGTTGAAGCAATAACAACCAATCACAAGCGATCCCGCTCTGCACGGTGATTGGCAGACACTTTCTGGGCTAGGGCTCCTATTGGTTACACTAGGATCCTAGCCCAGGATGAAGCTTAACATTGACTCTCAATGGCACAGTTCACAAGCAGGTATATACATCTCAATACATAACAAATCCCTCCCCCCTAAGCAAAAACACTATGTACAGTCATAGTCGCTTAGATAGGTGGGCATTCTGCGTATTCGCTGAGACCTCCGCGGCGTAGGAGGTTCAGGGCACCTCTGAATTGGGGGGACTCGGCTTGACTCACTCTCGAGTGGGTCAGGTACACCTCCATCGGGGCCTCAAGTCGTTGAGGTCTGGATGCAGCCTATCCAGCAAAGACGCTAGGCGTCGCCCCATCAATAGTTCGGCCGGGCTGCGGCCTGTGGCAGAGCACGGCGTTACGTGTTGCCGTAGAAGGAATGACGCTAGTTTCACTCCCCAATCCCCGGATGTTAGCTTGGCAAGCGCATCCTTGGTCGTGCGGACCATTCGCTCTGCCTGCCCGTTCGATGCTGGGTGGAACGGGGCAGACGTAATTTGCCTGATGCCATTGTTAGCCAGGAATTGAGCAAACTCTTGCGACACGAACTGAGCGCCGTTATCGCTTACCAGGACATCAGGCAACCCATGCGTGGCAATTAAGCGGCGCAACACATTTATAACAGCAGTGGAAGTGGTGGTAGACATTGGCGCCACTTCCAACCATTTCGAAAAAGAGTCCACCACAATCAAAAACATTTGACCCTGTACTGGGCCCGCCAAATCTATGTGCAGCCTCGACCAAGGCTTTCCCGCCGATTCCCATTTCTGTGGGAAGGCGGTTGGCGGTTCGGGTCTCGCCTGCTGGCATGGCGTACACCCCCGTACCCACTCTTCAATGTCAGCATCCATCCCAGGCCACCATACATATCCCCGGGCCAGAGCCTTCATATGCACCATGCCGGGATGGCCCTCGTGTAGTGATTTCAGCACTTTTTCGCGCCAGCGTTGCGGTACAATCACTCTGTTCCCCCACAGCAAACAGCCCTTTGATACCGACATTTCGCTTTCCCGCGTTTTGTACGGTTTGAACTCCGGCTCCAACGTTCCTGCCGGCCACCCCCTCCACACCCAGTTAATAACACGACTGAGCACAGAGTCTTTTGCTGTCGCAGCAGCAATGTCCTTAGCAGACACAGGTGCCTCCGGCAGTTCCTCGATAGCTAGAATGGAGCAAGTAGGAGCAGGGTCCAAGTCCTGGCCGGGCAGAGGGCAGCGGCTGAGCGCATCAGCGTGTCCAATGGCCTTACCCGGCCTGTGCTCCAGGTCGAACTCGTAGGCTGAGAGGAACAAAGCCCACCGCAACATGCGTGCGGACATAACATCAGGGAGTTGCCGGTCCTGGGCAAAAATCCCTAGCAGGGGCTTGTGGTCTGTCACCAGTATGAATCTCCGTCCAAACAAAAAGTCATGAAACTTCTTAACAGCGGAAACTAGCGCCAAAGCCTCTTTGTCAATCTGCGCGTAGTTTCTTTCCGCTGCTGTTAGCGACTTGGAATAAAAGGCGATAGGGGCTTCCCGCCCGTCGGGCATTACGTGGCTCAGCACAGCTCCCA